GAAAATATTTTTTATTTTGTTTAATTGTTCGTCCAATGACATTTCATATTTGCTTTGATACGTTGCAAAATGTAAAGCTCTTAACAATAATGAAAAACGTTTTTTGCTCATTTTCATTGTAAACGTATTTAAAGCGAACATCGTATTATCGTTCCAATAATTATTCGTACGATTCAATCTGATAATTCCCATGTACAAAATTAATCCAATAAATACAAGTATTTCATCTTTCGTAACTTCTTTCCATGACTTGATACGATAACGTTTCATCATCTCTGGACGTTTCATCATTTTAACGCCATAATTGTTTGTATGAATAATTATTTCGTTTATAATATCGTCCGTTAATATATGTAAAAAATAATTGAATGGAAGATTTCCCGTAACAACTGGTGTCAATTGTTGTAATCTTTTAAATGGAAATAATTTCATTGATGTCAAATCATTTGTCCAATGAATATTTGTCGTAACATTGAATTTGTTGTTCTCTTTCTTAGAATTCGATGAGTACGCATGATCTTCTTGAATTTTAATATTATCATTCTCAAATAATTCATTTGTCATAAAATCGGTTAATTCTTTCTGAGATTTCAAATGATCTTCAATGGGTCTCAACAAATGAGTTGCAATATTATCATACTGAAAATCATAGATTGTTTGTTCGTAAACAATTCGTTCTAGTTCAAGGGGTTCTGGTTCTTGAAACGTCAAAGATTCTTGTATATTTTCTTCGTTTAATACATCGTCAGAATATTCAGAATCATCACTGTTCAATGAGTTCAAGTTTTCAGAATCAGTAGTAATTGTTTCTGTCTCAAGTGATTTTAAAATAACTTCTTCGTCTGGATCTAGATTTAAAATATTTCAACAACAACAAAAAAAAAAAAATCATTACTGTTGTGCAATGCACATTTGTTGAAAAATCATCGAAATAAAACTCACCCATAAACTTGTCGGGAAAAATAGTATCTAAATAATTTAAAAGTTCTTCATCTGAGTTTTTACATTTTGATTTTGTTTTTTTATGGGAAGTTCGTGATACATTTTTATTGTAATTGCGCATGTTAATTGAAAAATTTATGCAAAGAATCTAAATTACAACAACAAAAAATAAAATAAAAAAACAAAGAACAATGGAAATTTACATATTTAAAAAAGTCAAACTTATTGTTTTTATAATTACACCCATGTAATTAGAACACAAACACTTAAGAAATAATACATACTAACTCTAAGACGTATTATTAACATAAATACACATGTAGTAACGTGATTGGTTATTAGTTGATTATATCAGATAAATCATTAATATTTGGCGTCTCTGTCGAGTATATTAAATTATATTCAAACAAAATATTGTGAGATACTAACGGATATTTATGGCTTATTTACATTACCATTACATTCAAAGATGATGGTAACATCAACAAAACCGATAGTTTCACTGATTTATACTTTTAATAATGAGTATTGTTTAATATTGTTTTCGAAGCTTTCTTTTTTTTTTTGTATAAGTACACTCTTTAACAATTAATAGTTTAGATTAATTAATATTTATTTTAAAAAGATATTCCGTGTTTTGATAGAATATTAACTAACTAATATTTAAATAATATAGTACATTTTTACATTTAATTTAAACATTACAACGCGAATTCATATATCGCGCGTTTATTTAGATTTTTATTCAAACAATATGTAATATGATCAAATATATGAATATTTATTATATAATAATAATAATGATTATTTTATACAAAATAATTGTCAAATAATCGAGAAAATCTTGTTCATTTTTGATCCTAAATTTATGTGTTATTTTCTTTACAGAACTTGTCGTCAATTCAAATAAAATCCTTTAAAAATTAACCCAAAAAAAAAAAACCAAAAAAAAAGAAATCATTTTTACATATATTATTATAATTGAGAAATATTATTTCATCGTTCAATAAAAATTTATATTAATGATATAAATAAATATCATAAATAGAAAATAAAAAAAAAATTAAAAAAAATAAAAATATAAAAAATAGATAAAAATGTATGATGTGTACACTTCTTTAAAAAAATAAAAAGCAACTGAATATTTATACTGTATGAGTTATTTTGACACATTCTGTACAGAAAATTGGTTTTTCCTCGCATACATTGCAGATGAAATTCGAGAATTTAATTATGCCTTTGGATTTGCAACTATCGCAACGTTTTCTATTCCTCTTACCATAGATTTTTTTTAATTTGATTACATCCACAACATGAGTACTTTTTTGATCTGTAGTATATAATGATTGGATTTTACACAATTTGTTGGTAGGTTTCATCAATATACTTTCAATTATAAATAAACGAAAATAATCTAGTGATATATTTTTACATACAAATTGATTATATATAATATATGCATTTGTTACCATTAATTGCAATAAATGTATAAACAATTTGACCTGACATCTAATATTATTCTTTTCTAATGGATAATAAGTTAACAATTGTTTTTGTTTAATTAGTCTTTTTCTTATATTTATATTACTTTGATTTATCGGTAATGGTATGAGTTTAGTTCCATTTTGTTCAGTTTTAATTAAAATCATATAATTTTTGTACTCGTTAGAAATATAAGTACAATCTCTCGTATCATTCCATTTACCAATCATTACGTCATCGGCATATTTACAAATACTTTCTCCTAGCATTAATTCAATTTGAACTATCTCTTGCGGTAAAGTTTTTCTATTTTGTTGTATATAGCCGGTAAAATGTGTACGTTTTTCAATAAGAACTTTGGCAAGTTCAAAACTATTGTAATCGTTATTTGAATATACACTATGACCAATATTTAAAAATTCATGTAAACATTCCGTTACTTTCTCACAATGTTCATTTTCGTCATAATCATCTAATACACCAGTATACATTGAACATTTTAATACAACACCAGTAGAAGTTTGAACCGTGAATATTCTTACGCCATATTTGTCATATTTATTTGGTATATGTTGACGAAGTAAAAATTGACCCCGCCAAAATGCCAATGATTCGTCCAAAATAATTTCACGATCTGGACGATATATTTGTAACATTCTTTTATTGAAATAATCAATGATATTTCTTATTGCACTTAATTGATCATCCTTATCATTGGATTGTTTTTCTCCAAAGTGCAACATTCGTAATAATAACGTAAAACGTTTGTAACTCATGTTATTTGCAAAAACACGTAAATCGAACAATTGTTCCTTTTTCCAATAATCACTCAAACGATCCAATTTTATATTTCCCATATGTAAAAGTATTCCACAAAAGATTAGAATTTCGTCTCTTGTAACTTCTTCCCATGATGTTAATTCATAATATTGTCTAATTATTGGACAACTTAACATGTCAGTGGCATAAACATTTGTCTCATTAACAATATGATCAATTAAATCGTCAGTCAATAATTGTCTAAACATACTCGTAGCATCATTTACAGGAATACTTTCGATATTTCTATCGGAACTTTCAAAAGGAAATAATTTCATAGACGTTGTATCATTTTCCCAAACAATTTTTTCTGAGATAACGAATTTCTTTTCCTGTAATTTCTTTGTCGATTGTTTTGCAATTTTATTCTCATCTATTTCAATATCAGGATACTTAGAACATTTAAATGTATATTCTGTTTCTCGAAGCATTTCAAGTTCTCGAATATCTTCTTCATTCGTTTCAAAATCATAATATTCAGGATCATCGTCGTAAGCCATGTTTTCTTGTAAAATACTCATATTTTCTTGTATAACAGTTTCGTCTCCCTGAAGCCACGAAATATCTAAAACATCATTTTGAAATAGTTCATAATCGTAACATTTCAAATGATTCTTAGAAATTTGATTTTCTAATTTTATATTAACGTCTTCTTGTTTAACAGATTTTTCTTTCTGATGACACGAAGGTCCTACAGTATCGTCGTTATCTATTTCAATATTAGATTATTTAAAATTATCACTGTGAATAACGTATTATTAAAAATCATTAGAATAAAATTCTTACCTTCAATGTTTTCCAGTTCAGGGTATAATAATTGTAGAAGTTGTTCTTCTTCTAACCATCTTGAGTTCATTATTTCAGATTTTAATAACTTTGATCTATCTATATTCATATTAAGAGGATATTTTACGAAGAATTTAAATGAAATAATTAAAAAGTCACAAATTCACCAATGAAACCTTTTTATTAATACCCCTATATATACAAGACACACATTTAAAAGTTAACGTTAGATAGACTAATGCTAATATCTATTATTAAACATAAATACTACCACATGTAGATACATGATTGGCTATCAGTTGATAATATTTACCATATTAAATACTAATGTGTGTGATTGAAAACAAATATTTGATTGGGGATAAAGTTTCTTCATAATTTATTGTTCGATGATTTTAAAATCAAAAGCTATGACAATATTTTATTGAATCTGTAATTATACTTGCATACGTATGAAAGGTGACATATTTTTTAATAATTAAAAAAAAAATAAATTATGATGTTAATTTATTTCAATCAAAAATGATTGTATCTTGAAGTTTTGTTAGTACATTTTGCTATCTTTTATTTCTCAATAATAATTTGCTATGCAAAGCAAATAATTGCAATGTTCATATTGTACATAAAAACTTAATTAAAGTGTACCTTATCGAATATAATACTTGCTTTAATTTTTTATTAATAAGCAGAGGGATAAGAAAAATGAATGAGACAAATAGGCAATATTTTTTTAAATGAAATTTATTTTAAATATGAAAAAAATCATGTTTCGAACAACTCAATATTTGGAGTGTTCCATTTATTTGATCCTTCCATTAGTTTGGTATCGGATGACCATTTAATGTGCATTCAATGTGCATACAATGTGCATTCAATGTGCATACAATGTGCATTCAATGTGCATTCGTGTCCTTGAAATCGAATTTCGTGCAAATAGTAGTAAGTGCTTCCATCTAGCAGCCATCGTCGTAACTAAACGTTCAAGAAAAACTCTTACACACTGTAAGGAAACTAAACGTCATTTATAACTGCAAGCATTATATATTTTGCTTGATAAATTTCGTAAATCTTGTTTATATTAATATATAACAATATGTCATCTTTCAAAAATCATAATATATATTAATATTATTGTAAAAAGTTTTGATGTCAATTTTTTAGGTTAGTTGTTTCAAGTTAAATAGTTTATTAATTGAAGTGTGTTTAACAAACAGTTGTAAAGTGTTGTAAGTTGTCAAAGTTGTAAAAGTTGTAAAAAGACAACACGATGTCACGTACAGGAACTAAACTGGAAGCAAAGAAAGTTGTAAGTTTATATTATTGAATATATTTAATATTGTTTTTTATTTCTTAACAAAATGTATATATGCAATTTTACTAATGAATAACCTTTATTCAAATTAAATCTATTAATTGAAATAAATTTAATGAAGATTAAAGGAATTCATGAAAATTCTTTATAATTATGAAAGAGACAGGAAGGAAATTTTCTTTATTTTTATATTTCACAGAATTCTGAATTATTCACATTAACTTATGGAGCTCTCGTTGCACAATTACTCAAAGATTATGAGAATGTAGAAGAAGTTAATAAACAATTAGATAGAATGGGATATAATATGGGAATTCGTTTGATAGAAGATTTTCTAGCACGTACTGGATCTGGACGATGCTATGATTTCAGAGATACATCTGAAAAAATTCAAACAGGATTTAAAATATATCTTGGAATAACACCAACTATTACAAATTGGAGTGCTGCTGGAGATGAATTTTCTTTATACTTTGAAGCTAATCCATTAACTGAGTTTGTTGAGTTACCAGATCATTGTTTAAATTTGAAATATTGTAATATATTAACAGGTATATTAAGAGGTGCTTGCGAAATGGTACAAATGGAGGTTGCATGTTGGTTTGTTCAAGATCAATTGAAAAATGATACTATTACTGAATTACGTGTTAAATTTATTAAAAGGTTAGAGGATGCAATACCTGCTGGTGAAGATTAAATTCTTATTAATATTATAATAATAATATTATTATTATTATTATTATAAATAAACAAACTTTATATTAAAATATTCTTTTATTGGATATTACTGTCATAATAGTATTAATGATTTAATACAAATATACATATTTATGTGAATGTATAAATAACAAATTTAAATACATTAATTTATGAATTATTGGTTAAATTAAGAAACTAATGTTTTTGATTCAAAGATCTTAGTACTCATTTTTGTTTATAATAAACCTTATGTCACATTTGTGAGTTATGTATAATAAAAAAATAAAAAAATACATAGATCATATGTATATTTATATAAATATCTATTAAAATTCAAAAATAAATACATTCTTATAATAGTATATCTATATCAATAACAAATCATGTTTATCAGACAGATAACATAACCTTAAAAATGAAAATGTAAAAGGATCATAACAGATTTTAATTTGATCGTGCTGTCATAACCTAAAATATTTGGTATAGATTTATAAGCATATGAAATATTATTTTAATTAACGATTTTTTCAAATGATTGAAATTAAGTGTAAACATTGTCGTAAAAATTTGTTTCTAAATGAAAGTTTTACAATACTTTCATCCCATAACGAAGATATAAGTAATATTGAACATACAGAATGTGGTGGTGATTTTATTGAACATTGTTTATACATGTCTATGGAAAATCTGCCAACATGGATACAGAAAATAATAGATCAAGTAAAGTCAATTTTTCTTATATATATATATAATATATTTTCATACAAAACAATAGTTAATCAATACATATATATATATATATATATATATATGTGTATGTGTACACATAGGTTATTTATTCATATGATAAATATAAATAAATATAATAATATCTTTGTAGACATCCTGGACGAAAGGAAGATTAAATTGCCCATTTTGCAATACTCGATTAGGATCATTTAATTTGGTAATTGATACTAAATGTAATTGCGGTAAATGCATAATGCCCCCTATTAGATTGATTCGTAGCAAGTTGGATGTAATAAATGATAATAATAAGAAGTTAACAGCGATAACAAAGATGTGTAACAACATGAATTTACAGGTACCTAAATAAGTAATTAAAGATCATATGTTGCTAATATAAAAAAAGAATGATAGCAAACATAGATGAAGTAAAGATTAAATCTTAAAGTTGGATATATAGAAATATCATATTCAAATTGTAATATTTTATGCTTTTTTGTTTTCAGTAATCAATAGCGAGCAAAATGCATATAAAAATAGAAAATAAGTTTATTAACAACATCATGGTATTCTTTGAATTATTAAATTGTTGTTATATTTATAATTCTTTACAACATTTATATAAAGCAGTATGTTATTATCATCATCATCATAATCATCATTATTATCATGCATTCTAAATAATAATATTTTCGATGTGGCATTTTTTTTTTTTTTAATCTTATCATGTAATAAGGGTTTTCTTTTCTTGTTTTTAAACTATTCTAATTTTTGTTATTACAATTAATATTTAATCGTTACATCAAATGAAGTGATGCATTACAATTCCAAAGCTAACTAATTGTAAGATAGGAAGATTGTAATATTATCAGTATTCTGCTATCGTAGCATTCTGAAGTTCTTTATAACAGAAAAATTATCTACTTGCACTTTTGCAAGCATAGATATTTTATAATAATTACATGTAAATATATTTATATATATATATATACAGAATACTTATCAACTACATCGTACATAATGAATGAATGGATATGATATCATCGCATTTCTTAAAATTATAAATTGCTATTATATATGGATATAACTAAAATATTTTTGTGTTTTTAAGTGTTACAAATATTAATTTCATATCTTGTAAAGAAAACACAGTACCCCTTCAACCCAATAAAAGAGAAAATAATAAAGACATATTAATTTAATATTTTAATCTTATAAATTAACTCACATAAATTATCTAAAAAAAAAAAACAAATCATAGATACTTTTTTAAATCTTTGGTTTTCTTTCATCAAAAGTCAATTTAATTTTACTTTATAATTATTAAATATATTAATAGGTATATCATAAAAGTGTGTCGACTGTACGTGATTTAACAAGAAATAATAACAAAAAAATATAAATATATTCTGTTTTCTCTTAAAGCATGTTATTTTTAACAAGCATAAAGAAATGTAATAATCTTGTATTATTATTCTGCCTTTTTTTTTTTTTTTTTCGTTGAATAATATTATTTTTGGATAATTAACAATTTTACGATTTATAATTCATCACATAACAATTTTATAACAATTTAATTAAAATCAAATATTAATATATATATATATATATATACTTTTTTATATATCGTACAATAGAAACAAGCTATTTGTACATAAACTACAAATCAATAATAAATGCGACAATTTGAATGAATTTTAATACATAATATACAAGAATTATTACAAATTGTGCTTTTTATTATAATAAAGAAAAGAAATTAAAATCGATGAAAAACTTTTCACGTTCCCATTTTCTATACATTTATAAAATGTAATCATAACTTTACATAGAATAATAGAATTATAACAAATTTAACAGAAGAATATTTAAATACCACCAATACATTTTTATTTTCTTTTTGGCAGTATTTACTTTTTTTCTTGTTTTATTTATTTATTTTTTTTTTTTATATAATTTTTTTTCTTTTTATTATTTTCTTTTTTTGTAGCTAGATTTTTTTTCTTTTTTTTTTTTTTTAACATTACGAAATAAAATTCACATGTATGTATATAATGCAACAAATAGCTTAATTTTCAATAGTTAAACAATATTATAAATAACTATAGAGATCAGTGCTAATAATATCGAAAAATTGTAATAATTATAATTAGGAAGACTGATATTATTATAGCACAAATAATAATTTAACAATAGGTAATATCATTTTACTATATCTTGAAAAATCATTGTAATTTACCATTTAAAATAGTTCCTATTGAAACTATATATTGTCTTTATTTTGCTGTAAATGTGATGTATATTATATCGTGCCTTTTAATAATATATTATTCAATATATTATTTATGCAACGTTAATTGCAATTCTTTACTGTTGGTACACATTACAATGTACATAACAAGATGTAGCATTTATTTACATACTTTAAGAGAATAACAACAGAATTATTATATAATGTGTACAAATATATATCAAAGGCACATATGGTAAATACTAAAAATTCAAAGTATTTGGTCGGACAAAGCTGATTGACTCTATCTCTCTCTCTCTCTTTCTCTCTCTCTCTCTCTCTCTTAGTCTTTTTTTTTAAATATACTTTTAACTGAATATGAAACAAAAATAATTTAATATTATTTCATATGCAATTAATATCCACAATTTCTATCGTACAATGGAGATGGATATTAAATGTAAGAAATTATGGTATGACTTCTCAACGAAGATGTTATTTTGATAATAACTTATGCCAAGTAAAGAAATGTTTTGTACACATTGATACCTAAAGTGCTCTTTTCAGCAAGGTCTTTAATAACATCTGCTGAATTGTAAAATATTATACATTAATAAGACTTAGATGCTACAATTGGAACATTTCATCCTGTTGCTGTTGAAGTCTTTGTAACGACGTTTTAACTTTTCTTCCCTGGGTCATTACTACAGCGGTGGGAAAATTTTGCGTATCACTAGAGGATGATGATAGCCTTAATTCTGATGAATGAGCTGATATATTGGTATTCGAAGAAAGCGAATCTCTAAATTTATTGGATGATTTTCGTTGTTGTACATAAGTGTCATTACCTTCATTACAGAATCTAAAATATAAGAAATATTTAAATATATCTACATACATATAAGGATAATAATGATGCATATTATAGTATTTCAATGATCATTGTATTAACTTACTCACTACTTCCTTGAGTACGTTTAATTTCTTTCTTAACATTAGCTATACTAGAATCCATTTTAGCTAAGAAGTCGTCAGCTGTACTTTCATCGTCTAATGGTGATGTTACAGATGGACTAGATACCTACATTAATTAATATCATTTTTATGAAATTATATACAAGTTACAGCATAGCAATGAAGTTAAATATTTTATATAGATAGATAGATATATACCAATGTTAAATCATATTATAATTTACTTACATTTTGAGAAGTGTTACATTCTGAATCACTGTATGAAGCAGATTCAATGGATGAAGCTAATGGGCTCTCTGCACTAACAGGTATAAGGAGATATTCTCTTAAAAATAAACTATCTGATGCCCATAGTCGATTAACTCTTCTTATTTGCTCAGTCTGTAACAGAAATATTGAATAATTAATCTAATATCTATCCATGACAATATCAATGAAAGGAACTTTGAAATACATACTGTAACACCATATTTAAGTGCAATTCCTTGAAGTGTATCCGTAGATAAAACAATATGTTTTATTAAACTCTCTGTTCTGGTCATGTGTTTAGCTGTACTTCCATACTTTCTTAAAGTTTTCCCAGTATCTGCAATGCACCTACGTTCCTCCATTTCTCTAGAGCCATTCCATTCCATTGTATATTCATCGAGTGAACATATTAGACAATGAAGCAGACATAGTACTTCTTATTATAATGGTACACAGAAAAATTTAGGTCAGGTATCATAATGGTATAACCTATCTAGGTCATTTTCAAGTATACAGTGCATCTGTTTTAAAACATTACATTGAACAAATGATCATTAGAAATAATTCTAATATAATATGTGATATTTCATTTTTTTTTTGAAGATATCATTTAAAGATAATATCCTTATCATCAAATATTATAATATGAATTTTGTTCACTTACGTGTATACAATTAACCATAAATGATTTGAAAAACACACAAGACAAATTGTATTATTTCATTCTCTTGTATCGCACGTGATTTGTCATGAGAATATGTGTATTATACTTGGTGTATCTTATTACTCGAATAAATATTACGACACATTCATTTTAAACCTGCACATCTATCTGCTTTCACTTTCTTTCTTTGCTTAACATTAGTCAATGGAACTAAGAGTAACATGCGCAACCAGGGGTCACTTAATCGTGACCTTTTAATTTTTTGTCACTTTCCACGAATTATAAAAAAGAAAACTACTTTTATGTACATAGATTCTATAATATAACTAACAAATACCGATCTATTATTTTCTGATGGTTTCACACTTTTGAAGTTTCATCTAAATCAAAGAAGATTTTTACTTTATCGACAGAGTCACATATATAAATATATATTTACAATTGTACTTTAAACAAGTAACATATGTAGCCAATCGCAGAAGAAGAAGAAGAAGAATATCTTTTTCAATTATAATAAAAAGCTTGTATATTGTTTATTTAATATTTAAATAAGTTTCTTTTTTAAAACTTATCTCTCTTTCTCTCTCATTATTCGTTCAAATGTTTTTCAAATGTTTATATTGATTTATGCACTTTTGAAATATTAAGTTATTATTTAAAAATCTTGATAATATTCGATCAAAAAGATAATTTTATTTGTTATATAAAAAATCATTTTCAAATATGTTTATGTATATGTATATAATTATATATATATATATATATATGCATTTATATAATATATTTATATTAAGTTATCGATCGAGTAAGATTTGAAATAGAATGTATGTGTGAACGAAGCTTAATGTTTGATCTTAAATGAACTTTGATTTCTAGGATGAGAGATTACACAAAGATAAATAAATAATCATTAATTGTAACATAAAAATACTATGAGGATTTAAAATAAAGAAATGATAAAGATTTAGGGTAAAATAAGTCGTATGTTTTTTTATCTATTGTGCCTCTTTAACATCGTTTTCAAGAGTTCGTTTCGCTAGGTGGTAGTTGCTATTGAGTTATCATACGTACATTTCTATTCAATGGCGCCACGTTAAAAAGAAAAATAATTTGAATGTTTATTAACGAAAATTATATTAATGTTGATTCGTTAATGACGTTCATGTTCACGAATACGGATGTTGGTATATAGAAAACTTGATTATCTTCTAAACTATATTTTGTAGATTTTGAGCTGAGTTGGCATAACAATAATGGCGACACAGATTGAAAAGCAGCAACAATCATTGAAAATAAAAAAGTGGATTTACAAAGTGGTAACTGTTGTGTTTGTAATACTTGTGTTTTTAAATCTACCGGCTATATGCCAATCACATGGACACGATGAATCACCGAGTTTCAAATATTCTCAAGAAGCCAATAAAGAATATTTGCTAAATCAGCATTCTGAACTGAAACATGATCCAGTGCAATCACAACAATTTAAAAAGGTTCATGTGCACGCCACGCATGATGAACATCAAAAGCACGATAATGATGATGATGATCATCATCATCACCATCATGAATCAACTAATCTTCCTACTAATGAACGTAATGAGATAACGTTTAGAGCAATGGGTTCTACCTTGCTCATTTCTATAGCACCTTTTTTTATATTATTTTTTGTACCATTAGACAATAGTAAGGAACGTGAACCATTATTGAAAATACTTTTGAGCTTTGCATCGGGTGGTCTCCTTGGTGATGCTTTTCTACATCTTATTCCCCATGCATTAGTTCCTCATTCACATGAATCTTCACATGAATCTTCACATTCCCATACGAAAGGCCACCAACACGAAGAACCTGATCATAAACATGATATGTCAGTTGGTCTGTGCGTTCTATTAGGCATTACTGTATTTTTAATTGTCGAAAAAGCTGTACGTATGATAAAAGGTGATCATGGACATTCTCATACTATTAACGAAACTAAGAAAGAATCTGACAAGAAGAAAGGTGCCTCTTCAACTGTCAAAAAAAATGCTGAATCCAAGAGCGATATCAAAATTGCAGGCTACCTCAATTTAGTTGCAGACTTTTTGCATAATTTTACAGATGGTTTGGCTATAGGAGCCAGCTATTTAGCTGGAAACAGTATTGGCTATGTAACAACGTTTACTATTTTATTACACGAAGTACCTCATGAAATAGGTGACTTTGCTATTTTGGTTCAAAGCGGTTGTAGTAAGAAAAAGGTAATCAATTGATGAATATGTGATTATATTTCATTTCTTATTTCTTGTATATTTATTTATTGTATTTTTGATTATACAGGCCATGTTGCTGCAGTTGACTACTGCAATAGGTGCTTTGTTAGGGACTTATGTGTCCTTATTAGCAGAAGGAATGGGTAAATTAATGAGATCTTTATTTTCAAATAAAATAATCAACAGGTGTTGATGTGGATGTGTTTAAGTGACATTAATATTTACATTTTTTAGGAGATTTTGCGACAATGTGGATTCTTCCGTTTACTGCTGGAGGATTTATCTATATTGCTACTGTCTCTGTGATACCAGAATTGTTAACTGATACTAAGTTTTGGCAATCAGTTAAAGAAATAATTGCACTTCTTGCAGGAGTATATATGATGGTACTTATAGCAGAATATGAATAGAAATCTATTTTTCAAAATATGGTCTTTTTAATAATACATTTATTATTTTCTTTTATTTTTTTTTTTTGTGTTTTGTTTTTTTTTTGTTTTTTGAATAATATTATTATTAATATTATTATTCTAATGATATTTGTTCACAATCTCAAAAATCACTAAACACATGATTGTTACAATTGGTACGTACGGTATATGAAATGATAAAATCATGAAATTTATTTATAAATGATGATATTTTAATTGTATAAGATTTGAGATTTTGTATTAAATTTATTTGAAGGTAAACTTTTCAATCTATTCGTTATCTCTAAAGAGATAAAAGAAAGAAGAGATGATGAGGCACATTGGTTGTACTCTTTTTTTTTTTAAATTTAATCTTATCCTTTTTGTTCAGGATTACTTATCAATAATCCTTTTTCTTTCATAAGTTTTTTATATTCCATTTGTTTCTCCATTTGTTTCCTCTTTCTCTCTTGACGCATTAATTCTTCTTTTGATACTATAATAATTTTTACAAATAATTATATTATTAAACAAATAAATAAAATAGTATTACATTATTAATGTCTTCTCGTAAGAACAATAATAGCATATATATATATATATATATATTTAATCTTTTTATTCTTACATTTTTTATTATTAACATCCACTTGATCTAGAAGAATATTGGATTTTGAATTTGATTTTGAATTGGATGTATCTTTAATACAAATTCCATCATTCAAAGATACTTGATTTTCATTGGATTTAGAAACTTCTGCTACTTGATTCGATGGACTTGTTTTATTTTCAGATACTGCTTCTAAATTGATTAGATCAAAGGTATATATTTATTTTTTATTATTTTTTTTTTTTTTTTTTTTTTTTTTTATACAAAAAAAAATCTTTCAAAGATAGTTTCTCGTTTGATTAATTACCTTTTTCTTCCTTTGGTTCCTTAATATCATGATTAACTACTACAGAAGGTGATTTGTTTTTAGGAGGAATAAGAGAATTAGAAAGTTCTT